GTGGGTCTTTTTATGAGAGTGATTCTATCATTAGGCTCAGCACAAGCTTGAGGTCAAGCTTATTTTCGAGGGTTGGAGTATATGAGAAGATACGTATTTGCTCGTTCATCTTGGCTGTGTTGATTTGGAGATATGATAGAGAAGGAAAGGAAGAATCCAAGCCGTTGATACATGAGCTGTTCAGAGTTTCATCATTTCTGCCTCATGTGTTACCTCAAGACAATGACTTGTCATTAATGCAGCACGAGTGTAATCTGCTACGAGTGCGGGTACAACAAAGTCATAAAAAGAAAAGGTCCTTCAAGACGTATATGTTTAAGTACAAACAACAGCTCAGAAAGATAATTGTTTTGGTAGAAGTTCTGCAACCTAACGTACAAGGAGCTTATGTGTATAATATAAGTGGAAATGATGGCAAAGGGCAGAGCCGTGACTGTGGAGGAATGTGGAGTGGCTTGTCTGTTCACAAGGGCAGCAAAGTGATGCAACAAAGGCGGAGAAGTAAAATGCCTAAGTCTTGGATGTTCAAGTATAAAGATAAGGTGGATACTTCAGCTGCTACGTTGGCCATTTGCAGAAGCAACAACAAGACCTTCAAGTATGCAGGATAAGCTTTATCATGATCTTATCCTTGGACACCAGACGTTTCTTTTCTTCTTCCAAGCTTGTGGGCAAGCTTGTCGTTATGGGGGAAGTATTGATAGACTTCTAGTAGCTTGAGTCTGACGTGGCAGGAAGGACGCTGACGTGTTTAATGAGAAAGACTCAAGAGAGCCTTGATTTAGTTCAGAAGGTTTGCCGTTACGAACTTGGAAGCTGTGGGGTGAACAAGTTGAGTATAAAAAGGAAGTTGGAGAGGAAGATGAGGCATGCTTTGATGTTGTATGAAGATTGACGCCATGAGTCATCTTGACCCGATCGCCATGAGATCGGTGACGAAGGTGAAGCTCGCCATGAGAGCCTAGCCGGAGTCAGCTCAAAGCTATTCGTTTATCATCTTGTAATCTCTGTTCTTGCTTGTAATCTGACATTGAAGATCAATAAAGGAGTTAGGGATTTCTAAACTCTATCAGTTGGACACGCAGAACAGAGCCGCCGACGATGATTTTGGCCAAAAGTCTTTTCTGTGTGAAATGCTCACGGTCCAGCTTCTCCTTCTCATTGATGATTCTGAGAAATGTTTGCAGTTATGGCATTCAATCAACTATGTCCACTTCTTGAGCTTCAATACATCGATCGATGCAATCTTTCTTGAATGTCTTTTTCTACTGTCCAGTCAGTACTCTTTGTGGAGATTTTCCTTTGACCTTTGCAAGAGATTTATTGGTAAATTTTCTCATCTGGGTCATTTGATTTAAATGAATTGGATGATAGAAAAAATCTCTAGAATTGTATATTGTGGGTACAGAAAAATAATCTGTCATTTTGAACTCTCTGTGTATATTTGGAAAGTCAGATTTTTTGGGCACTCATGGAAGATAAATTGTTGAGAGACATCTCCCTTGAAAAGGGCTTCCTGTCAAAAGAGAGATTGTCGCCGACGATCATTAAATCCCGTCGCAACCTCCCTCTTTTGCGTACACAAGATTTCTATCTATCAAATCATATTATATTTTTAATACTTTTACATTTGCTCATGATCCTATTTTGTTGTTTGGAGCTCGAAATTATGTAGACTTGAGCTGTTCAATAGATTGTCTTTAATAGGTTCATCACAAAAACGATTGCAGATTTGGACCTCACTGAAACTCTTCCTCATATAAAAAAAAAAACACTGCAAACATGAAGTTCAACATCTGATTGCGCAACAACCATCAGATTCAACCATTGAAGAACTGGTGACTTGATCTCTTACCTTCTCTCATTGCCATCATGTTTGCTTCTATTGAACTGATCTCTTTCCTTAGACTAATTTGCCACAATTTCACTTTGTCTCAGGTGATTTGGCAAGGAAGTGCCTAAGACGTAACAGATGGAGAGCTAAGAAAAAAGATGTAGACCATTGACTCCAGAAGCGACTGGTTTCTCAAGTTATACTCTACCAGATCTTTTCTCTCGATGTAAGTAGTTGGTGGCCTTCCCATGGTAAATATCTCTTGTTAATACTATTTTTTTCAAAAAAGATGTGTTCTTTGTTATTATTGGTATCAGTTTTGGGTTGCTTCTGATTGTCTTCTTATTAGGACCTGACTGGTTTTTCCACTATCACCCACAAACGCAGCTTTTCGGTTGGTAGCGGGTGTTGGCGTTTTGCAACAATCACAGTAAACGCTATAAACCGTTTCAAATCGCTCTGAATCTCTAAAATTCAAAAGCTGGTTCCAGCTAGCGTTTGCGGGTGATTGCGGGAGGATAACAAATATTTTTTTACCAAAAAACTATATAAATATAAAAATAAAATATTGAATTAAAATTTTAAATGGAATATTTATATTATAAAATTTCCAAAAGAAATATTTTCTTTATTTTTTTAAAAAATTAATATTGCAGTTTTTTCAATAAAACTTTTATATTTATCATGAAAATCTGATTTTAATATTTTGATAGTTATATATAATATAAATATTGTTAATTTATTATTTATATTATAAATTATCCCGAAAAACCAGTCAAAAGTATCCCGAAAACGCAACAATTTTTAACCGTTGAACCAGTCGTATAAATCTCTTACTAACGCTTAAAACTGCAATCTCCCGCATCCACAAACGCCCGCAACCGCAATCGCTGCGTTGTAACCAGTCAGACCCTTAATAGGGACATGTTGTGGAGAAATAGGGTACTGAAGCATGTGAAAACAACACATGATGAAGGATAGAAACAAGGGGTTATTGTATGTTTATTTAACTCTATGACTATGTCTTTTCCTGAACCATATTGGATTCGAAAGGTCTGACTTTTCTAAAAAATGTATCTTTGCGTACATGAACTGCGTGTTTGTACATACTGAGCATGCTATTGACTCCTCACTTGCTAGGGTAATCTGTATAAACACATAAAATCTACTTCTATCACAGCCTAATTTGTGCGAACAAACCCTTAGTCTTGTGGATACTTTAATCCAAAGTGGTCGGTTGATGTTATTGTTGCTGGAAGTCTAATTAAGGTGATTCATATGAGATTAATAATGGATCAAATGAGTTTGCTCTTTATTTCCCTCACGGTTTTATGTTATTTTTTTTAACAAGAGCACTTGAGGATGAGATGGAAAAATGCTCATATGGTTATCCAAGCCAGTTTGATGAGCCAAAGCATAAACTGAGGCACTCTTTGTCGTTATCACTAACATGTTTTTTTTTGGAACCGCTAACAGTTATAATCTTTATAAGTCAGGTATAGATTTTATGTAGGTTAGTTAGATTATTGTTATCACTCAAATTATCCTAAGGAGTGAATTACTCTCACAAAGAGGTTCAGTTGAAGTACTTAAGGATCGAATCACGAGGAGCTAGGGAACCTAATAAATATAGTCGAGTAACAATCTAGGTGAATATATAAATAGCAGAAACAGTAAATAAGTAAACATGAAATATTTCAATCAAGCAAGAAAATTACTTAATCGAGAATGGAAACAAAGATTCATGAAACTAAAATGGAAAAAATGTTAGACGTGGGGTTTTTATTCAAGTATTAGCATTATAATCCTATAAGAGCTATTCAGCTTGCTAGATACTATAGAGCATTAACTATCTTGATTAACAAATTATTTAAACTATTGTTCAAATAAATAAGTCTATTGACCGGCTGGTCGCACTTGACAGTGTCGAACGATTATTCAGTAGAAATATCGATTGACACACTAAACTCATCATCGATCGATTTCTGGTCGGAAGATCGATCGATGAGTCCGGTCAAGCAATATACACGAGTTAACATAAACTCATCAGAGACTTCTAAATCAAACCATCGTTTTATTTATAATAATCTTAGCTTAATAGGAAATGTGTTCAAGACTATCAGAATTGTTTAAATATCTCTAAGTCAACCTAAATAATTCGAGATTCAATGTTTGTAATTAGCTACTCTAGAACCATGAGCGATAAGAACATCCTATTAATAGACTTCAAATGTTGTTTTAGCTTAAGTCAACAAGAAAAATAAGTCGTTGTTTGACTTAAACTTTGCTTTTGCTATGCTTTATCAGGACTTGAAAACCTTTTGTTTTTTTTAAAAAAATGATATATGTGTGGTTTGGAGAAATCTTTGTCATGATAATATATCCATGTGGCCGGTTTAGCTGGTCGAACACACTTAGGGTTTGACTGGTTTTTCTGCTATCACCCGCAAATATAATTTTTGTGGTTGGTAGCGGTTATTGGCGTTTTGTAACAATCACTCAAACTGTTTTGAACCGCTTCAAACCGCTCTGAACCTCTTAAATTCAAAAGTTAGTTCCAACTAGTGTTTGCGATTGCGGACGGTTGCGGGACGGTGATTTTTTTTAAAAAACCAATATAAATACAAAAATAAAAATATTCATTAAATTTTTTAAATTGGAATTATAAAAAAATATATCTACTATATTTCAATTAATATTATTAAAAAATTAAAAAAATATTTAAAATAATTTTTAAAATTTAAAACTATAAGTTTAAAAGTATAATTTATATATCTATATATATATAATTTTATGATTTTGGTATTTTCTATAATTATATAAAATGTAAATATTGTTAATTTATATTTTAACTGCTATTACATTTGGTAGTTAACCAATCATAAATATCTCGCAAACGCACCAATTTGTAATGGCAGAACCAGTCGTACAAATCTCTTAAAACCATAAAAGACCGCAATCACCCACATTTTGCAAACTCCCGCAACCTCAACTTCAACATCAACCGTTGCATTTGAACCAGTCAGACTCTTAATTGCGTTTGAAATTGTATCTTTAGTCTGTTTGTTTATTTAAAATAAAAACAAAATCCTCTGTGTGATTCAGAAGTTTCCTGGATATTTTATGAACAAAGCTGTATTTTAGAAGAGACAAAGACTCGCCTGAAAAGCCTATCATATCTCAAAACTCATCGACTTGTGTGCTTCCGCTCTCTCTTACTTCCCTTTGAAGTTCCCTGTCGCTTTTAACTCCATGGCATCCCCTAAATCCAATTTCTCTCACACACCACAATAAAAAATTTTAAAAAAAAGCTCCAACCTTTTTTTGTGGGTCTCACTTCTCCAAACCCTAATTTCAACTCCCAATCTCACCCTCATCCTCTCCACTCCTCCCTCTGTTGCAAAGTCTCATCCTTTTCAATGTCTGTGGAAAGATCTTTAGAAGCCTGGGAAGAGGTTCAGCGACACGGACAAGACTTAGCTGACAGACTCGCTCAGGGCTTCACGGGTTTGATCCAAATCAACCCTCCTTCGTTTCCGTGGCCGAGTCACCAGAAACTGAAGCTATTCGATCTCGAGTTCTCTACTCACCAATTCTCCAACCATCAACCCATCAACGGCGTCGAGGCTATTCTCGATATAGGGAACAAGATTGGTCAAGCTGGTGTTGATTTCGGCTCTGGATTGAACGTTATGGTTCAGCAGTTTTTTAGGAGGTTGCCCTTGCCGTTTAGACATGAAGAGAACGTGTCTGTTTCTATGAGACATGGAGTTTATGTGGACACTAAAGATGAGTCTTTGTTTACTAAGACAGATGCTGTCTCCGCTGCTGTTATGTCTGAGGAGAAAGTTACAGACTTTGATTTGAGTAGTGCTGGATTACTTAGGAGACCAAAGGTATCTTGGTTACTAGGATGTTGTTGTTCTGTAGTTTAAAGGTTACAAAATGTAGGAGATGAGTTAGAGATCTGAGTATATGAACATATGCAAATTTTTGGAATTTAGGTCTTATTTTCTATATAAGGGGGCTTTAGGCGCTGTGTAGACTGATTTTTAGAACACTGTGGTTGGTTATTGAGATATTTTTGAAAAATAGGATTTAGTTGAACTAATGATGTTGTGAATCAAGTTCATTGGAGTTTCTTGCTTTGAGAGAACCTTGTTTACAGACTATAGTTTCTTGCTCTATTAACTGTAGGGAACGGTTGAGTTTTCGACAAGTTATGAAAGTAGGACAAGTGGTATGGAACATTCGTTAGCAGCCAGGGGAGATCTTTGGAGAGTAGAAGCTTCTTCATCTAGCTCAGCTGTTAGAGATGACAGTTCGTCTCTTTTTCTTCTCCAGCTTGGACCGCTGCTGTTTCTGCGAGATTCAACTCTTCTTTTGCCTGTTCATTTATCAAAGCAACACTTGCTCTGGTATGGTTATGATAGAAAGGTACTGCTTAGAGCTCATAATCTTACTAATTTCTGTGATATGATTGAGTTGCTTGTGTAATACTTACTACTTTATATGGTATCTTCTTTTTCAGAAAGGTATGCATTCGCTTTGTCCAGCTTTGTGGTCAAAGCATAGAAGATGGCTTATGATGTCAATGATTTGCCTCAATCCTGTAGCTTGCGTGAGTGTCCTTAGTTTTAAAAACCTTCCTCTGCGTAAATAGTGATACTAACTCCACACATGAAACAGTCATTTGTAGATTTGCAGTTCCCAAATGGACAGTTAACGTATGTCTCTGGTGAGGGATTGACAACAAGTGTCTTTGTTCCTTTATGTGGTGGTCTTCTTCAAGCGCAAGGTCAATATCCAGGAGATATGAGATTTAGTTTTTCTCGCAAGGTTGGTTAATAACACTATTGATCAAGTAGAGTCACAGTTCACATCTTCAATATCTTGAAAAAAGAAGTCTGATTGTTTTGTTTCTTGATTTTAACAGACTAAACAAGGAACAAGAATCACACCAATGGTGAACTGGCCTGACAAATCGTATGGAGTAGGTGTTTCTCAAGCCTTGGCTTGGCGTAAGTCCGGTCTCATGATGAAACCAGCAATTCAACTTAGGTAAAAACAAAACTGGTCTCTCTCTCTCTCTCTCTCTCTCTCTCTCTCTCTCTCTCTCTCTCTCTCTCTCTCTCTCTCTCTCTCTCTCTCTCTCTGTTGGTATGGAAACTCACAATCTTGGTATGGAAACATAGTGTGTGCTCTACATATGGTGGAAGCAATCCCGGGACGAAAACCGAGCTTATTCACTCGTTGAATGATAACATCAACATGATTTGTGGCTGTGCAATGACCGCTCATCCTTCAGCATTTGCATCTGTTTCCGTAAGCCATTCTTGTTGTTGTTCTGTTACTCTTCTTGTTTCTGTTCTTATTGACTCTCGTTTTGGTTTGTTTTATTGCAGTTTGGTCGGTCAAAGTGGAATGGGAATATCGGTCGGACTGGAATCGTTGTTAGAGTTGATACTCCTCTTGCAAATGTTGCTCAGCCTTCTTTCTCCATTCAGCTTAACAATGCTTTTGAGTTCTGAAGTAAAACTTGTTAAGAGAATGTTTTGGCTTCACGGTACTAAAGTTGTAAATAGTAAAAAATTAGAACTCAGTGATCTAAAAGAGAATTAAGAAAACTAAAAGAAATTCTGTAATAGCAGGTGAATGTTGAAGTTGTATATTAAACCACAAAAAAAAACTTGTTATGATATTTTGTGTTCTTAATTCTCTCCCCCAACACACTTAAATGTGATTTCCTAACGGAAAATATTAGCAAGAGAGTTTTGACTTTGCATTGTTCTTAGCTTACTCATCGAATCAATGTAACCCGAGAGAAGTCGCATTTGTTTCCCCTGTTTACCTCTGTGGGCAGATAATTATACATGTGGGTATTATGATTTACAAAAAAGAATGTGGGTAAGTTGTGACACATTGCAAATGCTTTTTCCTCCTTTTTGCAAATTGCGGGTAAGTTTTTTTGATACATTGCACATCTAGTTTTCTCCTTATATTCATTGTTTGTGACACAAACGAACCAAGCTGTGAACGAAAATCATTTCAGATGATGAACCAATGTGATATTTCTTTCTTTGCCAACTTGTTAATTTGTTATATAAAGATATACTATTTCATCACAATGTAAATATTGAAATGTGCTTGTATAGTAAAATAATCTCTGTTGCACAAAAAAAAGAAGTACAATAATCTCCACGGAATGTTGATTTTGTTACTTATCCTTTATGTATTTTGTAGATATTGATCCAGACGAAATAGGATCTATTTAACATTAATAATATGTACACATTATAATTATAGAATGTAAAGATGGTAAAAGATAGCAAATATTTTTCTTCAGATATCATTATTCACTCATTTAGGTTCATAATCAATAAGTTTATTAAATACGTTACTCTCCTTAAATATTGATATACTTATTGCACGCTACTTTCTAATTTCTATACATTAATATCTGATTCATAACACGTAGTATAACAATCTATGTAAAAAAGGAAAAAAAAAAAAAAGGTTGTTCAATCGGGGTTTCATTTCCCTTCCTTCTAGCTCTTTCGTTTCTTCTTCTCTGGTTGTGCATCATCTGCAACGTTGTCCACCCTAGAAGGTATCTGTGACAACCCATTCTATCGCTCATAAGCGCTGCAACGCATCGATGCTAACTTCTCACTGTGGAAGGAATTGCTTTCACATCCACCGGGTAGGTTATTGATGCAGGTTAATTGGTGACAGTTTATCTTGTGGTGAATTGTTAAAGGGTGGAGGTCTTCGGCTCAAATAACACCAAGTACATCAATAACCTACCGATAGATGTGGAGGCAGTTCCTCCCACAGTGAAAGGTTGAACAATCCATCTTGAGTCTGACATAGTTACGATCTTTTTGTTCCTTTTGATCATATCTTGATTCTTCGTCCTGTTTCATAAGTGAGATGATCTCGTTGCAACGTAGGCACGACTTGTGTTCTCTCTGTTTCATACGTTGTTGTTGTTGTGATTCAGGTGAAGAAGCAGTTAACTCAAGTGAGAACAGAGTATGTGTTTCTAAAGAAGGAAAGCTTCCCAAGTTTGCTGATCTTGAGTTTAAGGATCTTAACCTGAGTAACGTGTTCCATGCCAAGACTTGTTGCTCACGGATGCTCTCTGCTTCATTAGCTACTCATGGAGAAGCTTCTAAAGATTGCTTGGCTCTGTTTGAGCTTTTGCAATGCTCAATTTGTCACCCTGACGTTGGAGTTCAATCAGTTCCTCTTCGCATTTGTGCCTCCTTCTGTGACAGTGTCTTTGAGGCTTGCTCTGATGCTTACTTTACTACTCATGATCAGGTAAAAAAGAACGGTTGTGTTTGAGAGTCACGGGTTTTGAGAGAGTGATTTGGATCTTGTTTGTTTGTGTGTTAGGTTGTAGTACCGTGTGGAGCAAGCAATGGTACTACTATCTGCGAAAAAGCTTCTAAGTTGTTGATGACTCCGCAGAAGAGACTTGTTACGGAAGCAAATCAATTTTAGTCACAGTGGTGCCTGTGGTGGAGTCACTCATAAACACTGTGCGGGTTCATGAACTTAAGTACAAGATGCTGATACTGAATCTAGCCATGACGTGGATGACATCACTTTTTGCTCTAGCATTAACGTTCTTGAACAGGTTTGCATCTCTCCTCTTTTCTGTCTCAGTATCTGATGCAGCATACTTCCTATTACCATTCAGTTTTTGATTTCCTTTTATCTTAAGTTCCTTTTTCTAGTTGGCTTTACTTATTTCCATTATGCTTTGTGTTTAGGACTATAGGACTCTTGCACGAGCCTATATATAGAGAACTTCTATGTTGCTTTTGAATTAACTTTGATATTTGATTTTATAAAACCTAGAGCTTTGTTTTACACAACTCTTGATCCTTATTTTCCGGGCATTCTTTGAGAATTCAACGGACTTAAGAAGGCAAGTTAACGGGCATTCGCAGAATTCAACGTTACCTTTGCATTATCGGTTACTAACGGTTACTTCCGCTCCGTCAGTGATAGATAGGTGAACGGTCGATCTAAGAATTTAGGGTTCTTCGAGACCTGTTCTTGGATCGATCAAGAGTTACTTTCGTTAGCTTCTTGAGACCAACTTCCTGAAGAAGATGAATTTAATCGAATCTTGTTCAAGGCAACTCAAAATAGATGAATTGAATCAAATCTATATCAAGGTATAAAGCAAAGCTTCTTTTATTAATAATCAATCAACTGAATACAACTCTAGGCATAAGAAACCTATATATATGAAAACCATAAAACCCTAAAACAATAAAGATAATTATCTAAAATAACTAATAAAATAAATAATAAATATTTGGAAATATCCCAAATATTTATCTACATCATTCTCTCCGGGTTGGAGAAGATTCGTCCTCAAATCTTGATCGTAATCTTTGGATCTAAAACGTTTTCCAAGAAAAACTCTTCCTCGAATCTTCAATATCATTCTTGGCATAAGAATATCAGAAATCTGCACGAATTTCTCACATCTCTGAATCTCCAGAAATTTTCCAAAAACTTGATACTGCACGATTTTTGCACGGATCTGATTATATCTTGAATCTTCAAAAATTTGTTTTTGCACAAAGTTTGCACGCATCAAATCTTCATCAATATGATTTCGCCCTAACTTTGCACGCGAATTTTCAAAGGAACCCTCTTTGAAAACGAAGTCAATAGGATGGACATCGTCTTCATATATATCATAGATTGGATCACCATAGATCTCTCGATAGATCTCATGGTTCTCTTCTCTCTCAACAAAAGGACTTTCGTCCAGGAAAAGATAGATGCTAATACTCACCATGACATCCAGAATCGCCTTCGATTGAGAAACCAAAGGAACCTGGCTCTGATACCAACTGATGTAGCGGATAGATAGGTGAACGGTCGATCTAAGAATTTAGGGTTCTTCGAGACCTGTTCTTGGATCGATCAAGAGTTACTTTCGTTAGCTTCTTGAGACCAACTTCCTGAAGAAGATGAATTTAATCGAATCTTGTTCAAGTCAACTCAAAATAGATGAATTGAATCAAATCTATATCAAGGTATAAAGCAAAGCTTCTTTTATTAATAATCAATCAACTGAATACAACTCTAGGCATAAGAAGCCTATATATATGAAAACCATAAAACCCTAAAACAATAAAGATAATTATCTAAAATAACTAATAAAATAAATAATAAATATTTGNTGAATTGAATCAAATCTATATCAAGGTATAAAGCAAAGCTTCTTTTATTAATAATCAATCAACTGAATACAACTCTAGGCATAAGAAGCCTATATATATGAAAACCATAAAACCCTAAAACAATAAAGATAATTATCTAAAATAACTAATAAAATAAATAATAAATATTTGGAAATATCCCAAATATTTATCTACATCAGTATCAACATTATTTCCCTTTTTAATATATGAATCATGCTTTGGAATTTGATAACTCAGGAGGGATGTGAGAAGATTGAGATGAAGGAACATGAATAGAAGAAGGTTCTTCTAACTCTTTTTGAGTTCCTTATCTTATAGCATTCAAACCTTATCTTAGTGGATGTGGGTTTGCTTTAACAAGTAAAGAGTGGGAGAAGATGAACTAAAAAACCTCCAGTCAAAGTTGATCTACTTATTTATATAATTAAAAGAAAAAAAAAATCATACCAAATGCAACAAGAAAATCAACACAACTCTTTGAACTAGAATTTACAAATCCATAGATGAATGCAGAGAACACAACTTACAAATTACACTCAGTCAGAAATCATATGCAACGGGGTCAAACTGGGAGCATAAACGCAGTGACAAGAGTGGTAAATTGCAGAACCAATTGGAAATTTCTTGAACAAGTCACTCCTCACAATGTAGATGCAAGCGGCTCCAGTTTCATTATCACCACAACAGATGACAATGGTCTTGCCATAGAAGAAATAACTAATAGTGCCACTAAGCCTAGAATTAAACAAACTTGGCAAGTTGGTTGTTGGCAAAGTCATATAGATTATCCACACAACACCTTCCTCCTCTCCAATCTTCTTGTTAGTAACCCAAATCTCAATCTTCCTAGTAACATAGCATTGCTTTAACAAAGAAAAGCCTTCTCCCTTGAAAACCTCAAGGACAAGTTCATCCCGGGAATCATTCTTGTGGCAAGGGAGGAGACAAAAGGGTTTTAATATCTCCTTGGAGAAGTCAAAGCTTCTAATGAAATGCTTCCCAACATTACTAGTAATCCAATAGAGATTCCCGTTCAAGGAGACACTATAACGATGGGCTTCCCTAATGGGCCAGTCCTCGCCAGGAGTATCAACAAACTTGAAGACCTGAGAGCTGCAGTGGTAGACCGCAGCTCTCTGGTGGTAATTGTTATGGACTTGACGTAAGCAGATAAAAGATCCAAACATCTTGTAAACCTTGTTTTTATCGTAACCTATACCGCTAACATGGAACTTTGCATCTCCGAACTCGATCCATTTAACCTGAGGCGGTGGCCCACTACTCAACCACGGGCTCCACAGGGCTGCGCGGCTCTCTGGAGGCCAAAAGTTACAAAACAATAACCCATCGAAACTCTTGATTGTTCTTGTGGGGTCGAAATCTATCTCTTGGTGAGCGATCTCACAGGAGGATGGGAGGGAGGCTAGATCACGCAGCTTTACCGCTGGATCAACGCCGGCGAGATCATTGATCTCTATCGAATACATATTGGATTTGCTCAGGAAGATGATCTGAGGACGGGCGCGAGCCAAGTGGCACTTGATGAATTTACTTTCGTTGAAAAGACCGTTCCATCGTTTACAGACAGATCTGAATCGAGCAAGAGACAGAGGTGGAACTCGACTTAGTATCTCTTCCTCCAAATCCCAAGGCAGCACCATTCTCCGTATCTAATTTTTTAACCATCCAAATAAATTATAAAAGAGGAATAAAGGGAACTAGGTATTTTGCCCGCACATGCGGACTTAATTATCTTTTAACTCAATTTAAAAAAATTATCAAAATAAATGATTATTTGATCCAAAAAAATTCAACCTAAAACATTAAATTTTTTACATGATAAAGTTATTCACAAATTAAATCTTAATTGATAAAAAATATAGAAATCTATCTTTCAATTTGAAAAATTGAATCGATAAATATACATTTAAAAAATTGATCTTACAGAAAGAATAATATTAATTTGGATAATAATAAAATATATTTGAATTTATTTTGGTCAAACATGTATTTTCTTTCTTTTTGAATGATCTTTTATTTTATATGATTAATTCATGTTTAAGGTTTAAGAATATAAAATATAAATATAACTTTAATTTAATATGTGAGCTCAGAGACGAAAAATAACTTCACAAATATATATCATTATATAATATTATTATATAATTTTACTTTCGAATATTTATTTGTGTATGTTTCTGAATTTTTTATTAAAATATATTTTCCGTATAACAACACAATATATATAGGAATTATTTTTTTTTCAAAAATACATATTTAGATTATGGATAACTCTTATCCTTATTATTAATTTAAATCATTTATCTAATCAAATAAGAATTAAATTCGTTTTTATTTCTTGGTGATTTATATATTTTATTCATTAAGGGTAAAATAGATATTAACCGCTCTAACTTTTAATGTGGGAGCTCCATTGCGAAAAATCACTTCGCAAATAATAGTATAGATTATATTTTCTGATAGTAACCTGGATGTACAATAAACTAAAAAGTTTATTTTGTCGGTGGCTTTTCTCTCTCCCAACGCTATCTACTTTTCTATCAAACTATGGATTAGAGCACCTCCATTGGAGTCCTTAGACCATCCGCAACGGTTTTATTAGCCGAATCTTTAGATCTTTCTCCAAAACGAGTGGGCATATAATAATAATATCGCAGCCCATTTGGTTAAGGAGCGATCCGTATACAAGGCATTTAAGGACCGGGTCCTTGTAGACGTGGCATTGCTTCATTGGGTCAGTCCCATTCGGGTATTTCTAAATTTCGGTTCGGGATCGGTTCGGATAACCTATTTAAATTATATTTAAAATTTATTATATACTCTAAATTTCTCAAAATCTATAAACCAAATAATATACTACATATAAATTTGAATAATATATGTCAAATTACCTAAATTTAACATATAAATTGGTTTGGTTTCAATACTTGAATAGAGAATCAATAAGTATTACAAATATTTTTGGTGTTTTGAGTATGTTTTAGCTATTTTAAACATTTATTTTTCATTATTGTATATATTTTCAAGTATTTTAGACAATTTTAAAGTATTTTACATATTTTGGATGTTTTTAATATACATTAAATCTAAAAAATAATAAATTTGGAACATGATCTTATCGAAAATATTTGGAACAAATTTGGGGATGGAAAATTTTAATTATTGTATCTTTATGTTTAATCATGCAAGTAATAAATTTAATATTTCTTATGTTTAACAAAAAAAACTTTATTTTTCTATGATTCCTAAATAGAACCCACCATTGGACTAATGTTTTTGCTTAGAGTCCTTAACTATTCAATAAAATAAAATAAAAAGAAAAAAATACTATTATATTGGCTAAGAACTCCACAATGGAGTCCACCATTGTGGATGCTCTTAGGAGTAAAATAATTGGGTTTTTTTTTGAGTAGTTAAGGATTCTAATCACATATGGTCCTCCAATCGTGTTATCCGTTATGGAGTTCTTAGAGTTTTTTTTTAATTAAATTTGTAAAACATTTAAATTTAAATTTTTTATTTATTGAAAGTTCATTTTGTGTCCAATATATTGTAAAACATTTCAAGTAGTTATGTTTCTTCACAATGTTCTGTGTCTGGTCCAACCTAAGTTATGAGAAAACAATATAGTTAAGTTCAAATGTTCAGTTTATTATATTGCAAATCTTTGCTTGCTTACAAACAACAAAACAAGAAGTCATCGCCATTATCACTCAGGCATTATCCAGCCAAAATCAGTTTACAAAGAAACCAAAAAAAAATAGAGAAGACAAAGATTCAAATGTTTGATTTTCTTCGGCTACTTATTGCAAAATGCAGAGAGATCTCATACAATAGATTAGCACACAAAACCCATAAGAGAAGCTTGTCCAACAAGCTATACATTCGCGATGGTTATAGTATGTTCGTGCATTCTTCTAGGCCAAAATCTTGACTAGCTAGCTAGCCTGTGTAATATAAACACTTTGGCTTCTCTAAAGAAGTACATATACATATAAATAACCATGAAGAGAAAAAGTCTAGAATTTTGTCCTAGTTTGATTTGAGAAGCATTAAGTGACGGGACACAGAAAAACTCAGCAAATATCGGAACGTGAAATAGCATTTACTAATTCGTATATGAATGTTGAAAGCGTGATGTGTATATTATTGCGACTCGATGTACCTTACCAGAAGACATTTTGAAGTTGTTGCCAGGAGCGCATCGGGGAACTAAAAGAGTGACTAGACTTTTAGCCAATTAGAAAGAAAAAAAAAAAAATGCTTCCAGTTTTGTTATGCACTGTATTTTCTCTTTCGACCATTTTTTTAATCACATAATGTACCATCTCAATGCAGAGTTGATTCCCAAGTAATCCATCAGTTGATTCGTTGCATGGAGCTTCAAATGGGTAAAAGTTTAGTATCAAAAACAATTAGTTTGCTACCACAAAAGTAATTTCTACAAATGGATAAAACATTGAACTATCCTAATATGTTAAGACATCATTTCAGGGTTGCTGATGGAAGACGCTCAGTTGTTGATCTTGTTGTCTTCATTTGCTAAACTAATAAGTGGGTTTAATGTTAAACTATATAAATGATACCACAGGTGTTCTGTAAGGTTCCACTTTAGAAATAAGATGTAGCATCACCTTATGACTCCCTGTTAGCCATAAGGTGGCACATTTTAAACTGAAATGGAAAGCAGAGGAAAATACAAAGTGTCAAGTTACGTACAGATTCGAAGTCTTAGCGCATTATCCCGTTCCCGTCCCATCAAACAAGGTCTTGTATTACTGTCCAAGAATGATTAAGAATGAGTGTAGAGCAGAATCAGTTTACATTATCTTCAGTGCTTGGCGCTTGCTCGAATCTAGCAGCTTTAATAGAAGGGAAACAGATGCACAGCGTTATACACAAGTCCGGGTATATATGCTACTAATGTCTTTGTTGCGTCCTCTGTATGCTAAATGCGGAAGCTTAAGAGAATCTTTATGTAATCTCTGATGGTTATAACTGGGAAGATTCAATCGACTCTGACCATCCTCAAGATTAAGGATGCCAATTTTAGTGAATCATCATGCAAGAAGTGCTCTCAGTCTATCGCTGCAAAGCAACTGAGACTGGGGCATCACTTGGGTTGTTTTCTGGTCTGACTCGGCATCCATTAATTGTGTTCTGAGGTAGGTGGATTTTGAGCAGTCCAGGTTAGTCTATATTTACAGATTAGGAATCTCCAGTTCAGTGCGCATATGCCCTCTGGATCATAAATTAGATAATGATGAATCATATTCATATTAACCGGCTAGGTGAAGAAACAAACAAACCTGTTATAGAGTTTAAAAAATTATTTGTTATAGAGTTTCTACAGAAGCTCGAATAATTTGTCAATTGTCTCGATCCTTCAAATTTCCTCTGAAGTTAACATCCACCCTTGACTAGTTTAGTCTATCTAACAAAGCCAACTTCATGTTCGAGTGGGTTAAACTGGGATGACAGTCGATACGCAATTCAGTCTATGATCTAGTTTGATCAGTACACTTAGTCTCAACTAGACACTAAACACATTGACAACACAAGACTTGAGCGAATCAAAGATGCTTTATTAAGCTTATTTATGAAGTTCTTGACGTAGAGAACAAAGAAATATATGTCCAGCTCATTTTAAGGTGTTTAAGTCCATTATGTTGAGCTGATGCCGGTTTCGAGACCTCTGTAAGAAATATAAGATTTTGTTTAGCAACTTGCACATAATTAGGTGGTAAGAGTATGTAATGTTTAATTGTAGAAATGGCTTGACCTTTGTCTTTTTGGTTGGATGGAGCGTTCAGTGCTGCAATTTAAATTGGGTTAAATTAGTGAATACATTAATAATGTTTACTAAACAGTTAGTTAGAAGTCTCCATTGTAAAGAGCAGAGGGAGTTCGTTAGTGGATGTGGGTTTGCACAGAGCCTAGCTTAAGGTAGCTACCTTTATTGCATTTCAAGACTTGCCCATTTTATGTACCTGACCAAACATAAAGAAAGCCATGTGTTAGAGTTATTTTCGAGAAGAGAAGATTCGTGAGATGTGTGATGTACGACCATAGTTATAGTGTAATTTAGGAGTAAGAATAAAAATAATTCACGTTGGAAGATTTGTGAAAGAAAGTTGAATTACATATTTTAAATTGTAATAATTCAATTTTAATAAAATATTTTAAATATACATGGTTAAAATATATAATGAACAAAAAGAGTCAACATGTTCACCAACAAGTGAACAACAAGGTGTAGCGAGAGAGGACTAGCATATCTCCACGAGGAATCAAGGATAAAGATTGTGCACAGTGACATCAAAGCTACTAATGTGTTGTTAGACAAAGATAATGAACTCGAAAATATCACACTTTTGTCTTGCCAAGCTTAATGAAGATGGCAACACTCACATTACCAATTAAGTTGCTGGAACATTGCAAGTCAAATAAAAGAACATATCCATGAGCAAAGTTATGTCATGTAAGATCTGCTTATAACACAACACAATCATTTTTGCAGTGGTTACATGGCTCCAGAGTATGCCATTTGACGGATACAGTTGATGTTCACAGCTTTGGTATTGTAGCTCTACAGATTGTTCATGGAAGAAGCAATAAGATAAACCAATCTTCACCCATTAACAATACTCTCTATGGTAATAAACTTTTACATCACTAACTTTCATAAAGTACCATGAAGAAGAATCTCCTTTTTGTTTTTGTTTATTTTTTTATTCAGATGGAGGTTTTGAGGGAGCAGAACAATCTGTTGGAACTGGTGGATCCGAGACTAGGATCAGATTACAAGTGAGAAGAAGCAATGACCATGCTTCAAGAGGTGATACTGTGTACAAAGCCCGGATCGGAGTGATAGACCATTGATGTCTGAAGTTGTAAAGATGCTGGAAGGTAAGGAAGATGGTGGAGTTGCAGAAGCTTGAAGAGGCTTCAGCTCATAGAGAAACAAAGAGACTTGAGAACATGAACACTATGAAGATGTGTTACAAAATGATAGGGAGCGAGACAAAGTATGACCATGACCATGACTGATCAAACTGCCTCGTCAAAACATTAATATACTTGTGTCTGATCAAGATCAAGCTGTCTTTAGAATTACAGTAACCATCTGAGCTCTTAGGTAAAAGTCAGAGAGAGAATCTTTTTTCAAAGTGTTAAATAGACAAAAGCAGAGGATCCTAATGTAACTACTTACACACAAGATTTACATTTTCTTTTTCTTTTCTTGCTTCTCACTTTCTTTTGGTCTTTTCGAAATGGTATTGATCCTTAATCAACTTTCTTCCACCAAGTTGGTAGGCTCGCTTAGAACATACTTAGGTAGCTCATACTTAGCACCTGCAGAGTAAGAGTAGGTACAAGTTAGGAGAATATATGAACACAAACAAAAACCACTGAGGTAAGTGAAAAAAGATTTTGAATGTTTGACCTCTCTCGTCGTAGCAGGTAGTGAGATCATTGCTCTGAACAATGACTCCTGCACTGTCCACGATTGCTTGGGCAAGAGATATGTCAGCTTCAGCTGCAGCACGTAGCGCATCCCATATCTCTGAGATTACCAAGTGTAAGATACAAACATGTGGATATCAACATCAGAAGCAAACAGCCAAAAAGGAAGCAGATCATCTTTTGTTTTCTCACAGAAGACTTCTATGATTCCTCACTGAATCTAATGAAATTCCTTAGCTCAGTTAAGAATGGTTCAGGGAAAATCATCAACCTGATTTGATACATGTGAAGAAGCGTAACAGAAGGGTCCTTAGCTCAGTGGTAGAGCAATTGACTGCAGATCAATAGGTCACCGGTTCGAACCCGGTAGGGCCCTTATAAATCTAAATTTTTTTACTAACATCTAGTTCTACTATCATCCCTGTTTACAAGTTCTTCAATCAATTGCTATCCCATAATCTTCTCTATATGCCCACTCATCACTAATCAACCAATGGGTCCTTAGCTCAGTGGTAGAGCAATTGACTGCAGATCAATAGGCCACCGGTTCGAACCCGGTAGGGCCCTCAAAACCTTTTATTTTCTCCTTCCTCACATCCATTTTTTTACAAAATCCTTTAACTAAATCAGCAGCACTACATCATTTACATAATAATCTCTTAATGCAGCTCATCATTCGAAAGGAGAAGGGTTCTTACCTCAGTGGTAGATCAATTAACTGCAAATCAATAGGTCACTGGTTCGAATCCGGTAGGGGCCTTTTAAATCTAATTTTTACTACTGTTCAACATCTAATACTAATCCATCCATTTTTACAAGTCCTCCAATCAATGCCTATAACAAAATCTTCTCTATATGTCAACTCATCACTAATCATCAAATGGGTCCTTAGCTCAGTGGTAGAGCAATTGACTGCAGATCAATAGGTCACCGGTTCGAACCCGGTAGGGCCCTTTTAAATCTATTTTTTACTACTGTAACATCTAATACTAATACCATCCCATTTTACAAGTCCTTCAATCAATGCCTAAACCAAAATCTTCTATACATGTCCACTCATCTCTAATCAACAAATGGGTCCTTAGCTCAGTGGTAGAGCAATTGACTGCAGATCAATAGGTCACCGGTTCGAACCCGGTAGGGCCCTCAAAAGTTTTGTTTTTTTCCCCTCCCTAATTTCCCTTTTTTGTTTTTACAAAACCCTTTAACTAAATTCATAACTAACATAATGATCTCTCTGTGCAACTCATCACTAGAAATCAGTAGGGTTCTTAGCTCAGTGGAAGAGCAGTTGACTGCAGATAAATAAGTCACCGGTTCCAACCTCTTTAAAAGAATTCTGTTTTTACTTCATCTCCCTAGTCCCTCCTAATAACTACTACCCCTTTTCTACAAATCCTGCATTTCTTTTGTATATAATGAAAGCAAACCACTCAAAAACACAAACGAAGGCAAGCTATAGAGATAAGTAAGTCTCAATTTACCTTTCCTACCGCCATAGTGAGGAGCAGTGTCCCAAAACTCTTCCCTCAGTTTCATAAGCTCAGCTTTACTGATCGGTTGAGTATGCTTCCACGGTTTCGGCTTCCTAATTTTCTTCACTGACCCTGTTAACAAAACAACCAGTTATCTATCCATCTGCTACCACATAAAACTATTGCAAAACAAAGACAATCTCCATTTTTAAATATATATGCACCATAAAACATATGCACTCAGCCACTCATCATGCTTGTACTCATTGCTCAGTTAAGGATTATGCAGAAAATACCCTTAGATTCATCACTTAGTTTCTTTCCATAAGAGAAAACCAATGTTAAACCTTCCATATGAAACAGAGTCTTCTCCCACAACAATGTTATGTGTTCTAAGATCTCTCGCATTACCAGGTTATGAAAGCATATATATATATATTCACATACACATGAACACAAACACACATCTAAACACTAGCTTTGTCTGAAAACCCTTAAATCGGAATCCAAAACTTTGACAGAAGAATCTAGGGTTTATAAATCTAGGGTGTATCTTATCCCTGGGTGCGAGAAAAAACACATCTAAAAATAGAAAGTCTGCATCTTTATCTCCTCTAACGAAACATAAAAGTTATAGGCTAATGAAAGATCTCACCTTCCGATTGCGACTGTGTGGATCCAGCACAACCCATTATTGTTTTTGCTTTCTTCTTCTTCAATCGTCTCTCGGAAACACAGACAACAATGACGATTCAGACAAAACCCTTCATCGAAGTCAATCAAAGTCGTAAACTTTCCTTTTTAAAAATGGGATTTTTTTCCCGGGTCTTGAGACGAAGAAGATGAAGACCGAGTTGGAGATAGACGATGATGAATCTCGGTGGTGTTAATGATTGAGACGACATTGTTTTTGTGATGTTTTGTTCGATAAATAAAGGAGAAAAAGTGGTTTTGGCTTCGCTGTCTTGTCAATTAAAGGGACACCACCTTCAAAGGGTTCTCAATCCAATGCCAGCCACCAATCAAATTTTGCCACGTCATTATAATTATTCTTTGATAGTGATCATTAATTAAGTTAATCATATGATTCATACATATCTCAGGTACAGAAACACAATAGCTTAATCATCACTTTATAAAGTCGATGCTATTATTTAATGAAGCAACTTGTTACTTAATTTTGGTGAATATTCCAAGTGTGGTTGGAGTTAGATCTTTTTTTATCCCCTATATATTAGTTGAGAAACATTTGAAAAGATGTAACCTCAAGTTTGTATTAATTAAAAAGTAATCTTCCTTAGTTGTCAATCAATTAGCATATCAATTAAACTGACGTGGCGGCTTTAGGTTCAATTGAAATTTGCTAGGGAAAAATAATTAGAGACGCATATAACGCATGTAACATAGTTTATATATTTATATATATCGCACACATGTAATGGAAGAAAAGGAAAATATATGATTTGATAACGATTTGCATATATTAACTATAATANATTTGCTAGGGAAAAATAATTAGAGACGCATATAACGCATGTAACATAGTTTATATATTTATATATATCGCACACATGTAATGGAAGAAAAGGAAAATATATGATTTGATAACGATTTGCATATATTAACTATAATAACTTCATTCCTTTTAATTTATGGAAGTGTATATGTAAAATGGAAAATACTTAAATTCAAATACAGTGAAACCTCTATAAATTAATATTGTTGGGACTACACCAAAATTTTATTTTTTTTATTAATTTAGAGAGATATTAATTTATAGATATACTAATTGAACCAAAAACTTAATTTGGGACTGTAAAATTATATTAATTTATAGAGATATTTAGTGTATATTAATTTATCGAGTATTAATTTATAGAGGTTCTACTGTAATCATAACGTAATTTATAAATCATTGGTGTAAAGTTTTGTTACACAAATATGCAAATAATCATAAAATCATATGAGTAGAAACCTCATTTAATAAATATCCATATTAAAAGTGTGCTATATTACTATGTTTATATCATTTAAATTTAATTATATATCATATACAATATATAAGATTGATTATTTTGATTTATTTACCNGATAAATAGGATTGACACGTGAACGTGAATTTCTCATAACTGGAAGATAAATAGGATTGACACGTGAACGTAAACTTCTCATAACCATAATTAATTTTTAAATTGTTAAATCATGATATAAAACTGAGTTAATTTTTAATTTGTTAACTTTTAATTTTTTTAATTTTTTAAATCATTATGGCTATGTTAAATCATGACAGTAATTAATTTTAAATTGTTTATTTGTATTCAAAAAACTTAAAATATTGCTTTTAAAAATAATTTTAAATTTAACATAATTTTTTAGAAAATTATTTTTAAAAAATGTAGTTTTTAAAAAAATATAATTTTCTAATATTATTAGACAAATAAATAAATTATATTAAATTAGTTTAGAAATAAATCAGATCCATTAAATTCTAAGATTTGATTTACATTTCTAATTAAAATTGTTTTTGATCATACGTATAGATAATTATATAAAAATTCCAAAATTCTAAAATTTCAAATACATACAAAAATAATCATATGTAAATTTTAAATTTGTGAATATTAAAATTTTATATTTTAATTACATATATTCACCCTGCGCAAGGCGCATGTCTTATCCTAGTAATATGATTATTCTCAGATGGAAGAAGTGGCCCGGCTCAACTTTAGTTAGCAATGGAACAAGAGTTATTGATTTTAACTAGTGGACATGACTTTGACCATGAGACTAATTGTGTTTGTCCAATGGGTTCTTTCAAATTGCCATGTGCAGAAGATCAGTGAACTATGAAACTCTGCTCTCCTCCTACCTCCTACCTCCAAGCTTCATAGCCCTGCAAACTAAAACCGTAACAGAATCATCAAAACCTAATCTATTGAATATACAATTAGATTGTATATGTCATTAAGAATCATCAATCCAATAACACTTGATTTTAATAAGCATGTTAGAATCCATCAACCAATAACTGTAGAATTTTAAAATTCTAACATTAATCCATTACAAATATAACACCTCCCGCTATCACCTCCTAAGTTATTATATCTCAGTTTGACTAAGATAATCACAGAAAAAAATGATACAAAATAAACACTCTTCATTTCTTTTTCTGAAATGTCTCATTGTCAAAATTAGTTGAAAACATAAATAATTTTCTTGTATTATGATGTGAAAGCTAATGAAACTTACAAATTTAACAACAAGAGATTGAATTTTAATATCACATTTGGTTATACAATAACATACTTAGGAGGTAGTTGTGTTTATTATCTTGATAATTAACAAAAGGGTTAAGAAAAGCTGAATTTAAGAAGATAGAAAGACCAGTTTTTGTTGTCTCAAACACCTTATATATGATTTCTAGACAAAATTATACGCAAAACCTACATAGCAATGTCTCAAACTAGTCCTTGTTCAGACATCATTAATATAACAGGTTACATACATGCACCAAAGCACCAGAGAGCAAATATCCAACCTTTGGAAATGGAAGATCTCTAAATTCGGAGACAAAGTCTCTCTCTTGAGCATAAAATTCATGAAAACAAGCCATAATTTTAAAAGAGCTTAAACATGCCAACACACTTAACTTTTGTATACAAAATCAATAATTAAAACCACAAAGACCTGAACAAAGTGCTATTTTAAATATGAACATGAAGTAAGAAAAACAAAGGATAACACTATTGAATATGAAAGATGTTTATTCACATAGACCAAAGGTCTGTTCTTATACAAGACGAGGATGTACAAGTATGGTAAAGGAAATATACGATGAGTAATGAGAGAAGTCATGTAGCAGAATGATAACAATAACACTAATCTTGTGATATATGGTTTCTATATCTTATACGCCCCCTCAAGATGGACTGCCGTATGCAAGGCCAATCTTGACTGATAGCTTTTGAAATCTTGGTTCGTGAGAGTGGATTTGTTAGCGCATCGGTGAGTTGACCGGCTGAGGAAACATGTGAGACACGGATGTTGCCTTGTTGTACCTGACCGGCGGCTAGGTAGGTAGCTCCAATGGTATCACATTAGACTACCGGCGTTCATGTTGTCTTGAGACCAAGTTCCGTGATGAGAGAAGTAACCCAGCATATTTCTGCTGTCGTTGAAGCTAATGAACGGTATTCTGCTTCTATAGGTGATCTTGCGACGCCGGTTTGCTTTTTAGAGGACCATGCTATAGGATGTCGACCAAAATAAACAATACATGATTTTGCAGATGTGTAGTCGTCTTTGTTACCAGTCCATTCAGCATCTGTAAAAGCATGAAGTGTTGGAGTTTTGACGGCTGGGAAGTATACTTTGGTTCGCAGTCCCAGCAAGAAAGCGTAATAATCATTTAACAGCCTGCCAATGTTCTGTTCTAGGTTGATGCATGTACTGAGATAATTTGTTCACTGCGAAGGAGATGTCGGGTCTGGTTAATGATAGATATTGTAGACTCCCCACAGTAGCACGGTATAAGGTTGGATCATTCATGAGCTCACCGTCTTATAAGGTAAGTGTGGTGTTTGGGCACATCGGTGTAGCAACTGTCTTGACTCCTGTCATCTTTGTCCCCTGAAGTAAGTCTGCAATGTAACGATGTTGCGTTCGTAGTAAACCATCTTTGTTTCTATGAGCTTCCATTCCTATAAAAAATTATAGATTTCCCAAGTCTTTGAGAGAGAAACGGTTGGATAAGGAGGTGATGAACTGCTGGAGATAAGTGGTGTTGTTTCCAGTGAGTAGAATATCGTCAACATATATGAGCATGTAGAGGAGGACACCGTTATGATAATAGATGAAGAGGCTGGCGTCTGCTAGTGAATTTTTGAAGCCGAATTGAAGCAAGAACGTTCTCACCTCAGTGTACCAAGCTCGAGGCGCTTGCTTAAGTCCATCGACTACTTTTTGAAGTCTACAAACTCCGTTGGGGTTATCTTTATCCTCGAAACCAGGAGGCTGCATCATGTATACTTCGTCTTCGAGTTTGCCCTGCAAAAAAGCATGATTAACATCAAATTGTCGAACTGGCCAGTGTTGAGAAACTGCAACACTAATAACCAAAACGGATGGTAGTCGGTTTGACAACGTGACTAAAAGTTTCTTTGAAGTTGATTTCGGGTCGTTGAGTATATCCTTTGGCGACCAGACACGCCTTGAACCTGTCTATAGAGCCGTCTGCCTCTACCTTTATAGTCAACACCCATTTACACCCAACCAGATTTATGTGTTTGTGTGGTGTTACTATGTCCCATGTATGATTCTTTATTTGCGCGTATCTTCGTACATAGCCTTGCAGCATCTGGGATCTTTAAGTTCTTGAAGAACAGTGGTTGGAATTGGCTCTTCTAGTGGTGTGACTATGGTGCTCAGGTTCAACTTCTGTATTGGTTTTCTTGCACGAGTTGAGGTTCTTGTTGGAGCCAATGGAGGTGGTACATTTGCTGATTCCGTTGTTGACTGGTGTTGAGTGTTGCTTCTGTAGATGTCATAGGAACTGGGGGTACTGGTGGAGAATTGTTATCAGGAGAAGTAGTTTCCGGTTGCAGTGGTGCATGAATCGGAATTTTATGTGATGTCGTAAATGTAGTTGTAGGCTGTGAGGATACACTGATAGGAATAACAGAAACCTGCGGAACTGAAACTGAATTATTCTCTGTAATATTTTCTTCAACAGAGGAAACATAGGTTAGTGTGTTAGTAAGAGAGAATGAGAACACATTGATACACGGAAACTGTATTCTTTTATACTGCAAGCTAACAATGTAGATGTAGTACTTATGATTCAATTCTAAAGGACCAGATTATACTTTATTTCTATAGGATCAAATTCAAG